ATGTTGTGTTGCATGATTTCCAACAAGGCATTGCACACAACAAAAGTGCGAATTTCTAAGTGTATCGGCGATCGACAAACTCTAGCGACATCTGAAGTGTCGCAAATCAGGCTGACCGAATTTGCGCGTTTTTTCTCGCGCCAAAACGGGGAACAAATACAGTGCACCATTGCGAGGGGTGTAAATTATTGCACAAACAATGTATCCAACGTCATGACAGGTTTTGTTTCAATAATGCACAGCGCATTACTACTCTGATCCTAACGTCTCGACCTTGAACAATCATACTATATAACTTCTCAACACTGAGCAATCAGGATGATTTTTTTCTGGAAAATATGCACCCATAATACAGGGGGGGAAATTTTTTCCCGGATTGAGGCCTAATTTGAAACGTCAGCCCTGGTGTGAGCAACCTCCATGATTAAAGCTGCGGTCTATAATCGAAATAGTATTTTGTGGGGATATTTAGGGTGCACACCCTAGGACGCAGTCTGATTTGCTCACGAAATTATCCTTTTCCAGAAATGAGGGTGCGAAGGTTTCAGACACAACTGGCGAATCCCGCTAGTTTCGTGGAAGGTTCGGTTGGGTGGTACTACTTATTTCGTGAGGTTGGAGTTGTGTTGGTGATTTCGCCACAGCCTGCAACCAATCGAGGTTGGGGAGGAGATTGGCGCGAAAATTGTAAGCCAATCATGAGCAGGCCTATTTTCATAGGGGGGGTTGGGTTGTCACAAAGCGGTAACTGCACCTCGCCACTCAAGGTTGGAGCGAAGGCCTGTGCTACTAGGTTTTCAAGTGATAAACCAAGTCCTCCCGCAAGAAGTATGTAGGCGACAGCTTTAAGCAAATGTGGCGCTCGGCATTCCCATTTTGCTGTGGAGAGGCCGGAAGCGTGAACGACTGGGTGATGCCTTGAGCACCACAGAAGAGGGCCCGCGATATCAGGGAAAAACATCCTGATTACCCTGATTTCAGGATGGTGTTTTTATTTTGCCCTGGAATTTCAGAATGACGCTGAAATTTACCCTGTGACGTCAGGATGATCCATGTGTTTTGCCCTGAAATTTCAGAATGGTAGTGAAATTCTGCCCTGAAGCGTTAGGGTGAATGTAGAGGGATGTCCTGACTCGTGGGAAGGGGAGAAGGGGTGGAGGGGGGAGAGGGGGAGAGGGGAGGAAGGAGGCTGGGGGGTGTGTGTGCTAGTTTTGTCCCCAACCCTCCCCCACCAATGTTTTTGCTCAGCTAGTAGAAGTGAAACCAGTGAACAACCTGCTCCTTTCGTGCCTTCCCCTCCATCCTCTCTAGTGCCTTGTATTTTTTGCCCTGAACCATCCAGATGAATTTCTGCTGGTGCCCTGAAATTTCAGATGGCCAGGGAATTTCGCCCTGAAAAATCAGGGCATTTCAGAGATTTTTCAGAAGTTACCCTGAGGGCTCAGGATGCCCTAAATCCTAGCACAGGCCCTGCCACAGAAGTCATCGAGGAGGCTGGAGGAAAACTCACCACCTCGCTCGGGGTGCAGCCACAGGACCTGGAGGTTGTGTTACAATCGTGCGCTCAGGTGACGATGAACAGCGCAATCCAAGGGATCAAGTCACTGCAGACACCAGGGTCCTCGACATCAGACATTTTTGTCTGTTTGTCTTAGTTTCCAGACGGATTTTTTTGGATTAATCTGATGGGCCAATCAGAATCAGACAAAGGTTTTTTTTTGCCCAGGGGACCCGTCTGATACATCAGACACCCCTCGGATCCTAGCGAGGACCCTGGCGGACACCCGCCTTGTGCCGCAAGGTGAAGACCGTGGACCGTGGTGTAGCGCGCGTAATTGTAAACAACCAGCAGACAGTAGCACTCGCGGTCCTGTCCACTAACACACACATTCCGCTGTACTCCCTTTCTTAACACAAGTTTGATGGCCCAGAGTGCCCTAAACAATAATAGGGCCCGCTTCACCACTCCGTAGTACATCCTATTTCATCCCAACTTACAGAATACACATGCAAATGTACCATATATGAGTACGTTGACACACGGTCTCCAAGAAAGAATATGAGGACCCTGCCAGCCACCAGTCAACATTATTCCGCTGACACTAGACCTACCGAGATCCTGAGTACAAGTATTTTTACTCATTGGTAAAAGTGTTGTTAACTGGGTGAGTAGTTACCGTGACCGTCATCACCCAAATTAACGCCTCGTAAATTGTAATGGTACGGTAATATATTTCTTCGACTGTCTTGAAGAGACCTAACAGGATTTTGACAAGAGGACTGGATGGGAGGGAGAGGAGGGGAGAGGGGAAGGGGGGGGGGGGAGGAGAGGGGGGGGTGTGTGCGGGCATATATCTGGGTTATCACGGTAACAGTAAGGTGAACAGATGCTTGCGTGGCACAGCTTAGCATTCAAGCATAACCAGTTGTACCCGCTGCTTTGTAACCCCCATGCTGTGTGGCAATGTACGCTTTGGGGAGACACAGGGGCACAGCCAACACGGGAAGTAAAAGTGCATAATTCAGTACAAGGGTATGGCGTGATGAGAAGTCCACCTACATCAGCGACCAAGTCACACGTGGAGAAAGGGCGGACGGTAGGGGGGTGAAAGAGAATTGCAAGACGGTGTGCCATGGAGCCACCAAGCACCCAAATTAGGGACATAAAGCCCTCAGCCCCTCTCGGCTGCTCGGACCACCACAAGCAGGCTCTCAGCGAACCGAGCGGCAGCAGCAGCCCATGCCAAAGCATGCCATCCCACACACCAGACTTCACTGCCTTGCCCAAAACATGCATGCCTTGCCGAAAACATGCATGCCTTGCCCAAAACATGCATGCCTTGCCCAAAACATGCATGCCTTGCCCAAAACATGCATGCCTTGCTCCAAACATGCATGCCTTGCCCAAAACATGCATGCCTTGCTCCAAACATGCATGCCTTGCTCCAAACATGCATGCCTTGCTCCAAACATGCATGCCTTGCCCCAAACATGCATGCCTTGCCCCAAACATGTTTGCCTTGCCCCAAACATGTTTGCCTTGCCCCAAACATGTTTGCCTTGCCCCAAACATGTTTGCCTTGCCCCAAACATGTTTGCCTTGCCCCAAACATGTTTGCCTTGCCCCAAACATGTTTGCCTTGCCCCAAACATGTTTGCCTTGCCCCACCGCCTCGCACACAACTGGCTAGGCTCCTCGAGGTGCCTTCTCTCCCGCACCCACCACGGACTGCATGCCATGCCATGGCCCACCTTCCAACCGCCCTTTCACAGCCCTCACCACTACAGCCCTCACCACTACAGCCCTCACCCCCACAGCCCTCACCGGTAGCGTGAGTGGAGGGGGATTGGCTAGAGCCACTTGGGCCAGAAGCCGTGCACCCAGTAGCCCTGCTTCGCGTGGTCCAGCTGCACCACCTGCCGCACCGACGCCGCCGCCACACCCATCGCCACGAACAGCAACACGCGCTGCGCCCATGCGCTGCGCATGCGCGGCGCCACGTGCGTGGCGAAGGCGACGAGCAGACCCACGGTGGTGTAGAGCGCGCCGATGGTGAAGCCCTCCGCGCCGAACTGCGCGCCGCCGCCGCCGTAGAAGTAGGTGAAGCGGCCGGGGTGCTTGTGGTCGGGCACGAAGAGGGGCATGCCGCGGATGATGTTGAACATGCCGCCCGACACCGAGAAGAAGTACACGCCCACGCCCACCACGCACCACGTCGCCGCCTCGTGCAGCGGCGTGCGCGTCGTCACGAGCGCGCGCAGCACGAAGGGCGCGGCGACGACAGCGAGCACGGCGATCACGACGACCTGCGTGGACGACACTTTGGGCGGGCGCTCGATGGGCCCCACGTCCACGCCCCCCGCCGCCTGCAGGAACTTGGCGAAGCCGTCGGCCGTGGCGGGCGCGGACTGGAAGTCCATGTCCTGCCCGCGCGTGGACTTGGTCCCCGCGGGGAAGAAGCGCGTGGACGGCAGCCCGTTGACGGCGAGCGCGTGGAAGACCTTCTCCGACTGGCCGTACTCCACGTCGCAGAAGAACACCTCGTCGCGCGGCGCCGCGCCATCCGCGAGGAACTTGCTGGCGTACGCCCTGGCGAGCAGCGCGAACTCGCGGCGCAGCGCGGGCAGCTTGAGGTCGCCGTTGTCGTGCAGCTTGGCGGCGTCGAAGAAGAGCAGCACGCCGTACGGGCGGGGCTCCGCCGCCTTGATGTACGCCGCGAAGCTCTCGTCCGTGATGCGGATCACGCCGTCCTTGGCGCGCCGCCGCAGCTCCCGCAGCTCCTCCACTCGCGAGTCGGCGAGGGCGAGCGGGAGACACGCGAGCAGCGCCAAGGCGGCCACAAGACACCACCGCGATGCCATGGCGCGACGAGGCTGCGAGAAGCAGCAGGGGGTAATGAGTGAATGGACCGATCACGTGTTAGGATGAATGAAGCTGGGTGGTGTGAGAGTCAGATCTGCCTGCTACTGGTGACAAAGGCGAATTTGAAGTGAGGGACAGGGCGCGTGAAAAAACCGAACGATCGATCGAGTCTACAACAATCTTCTGCAACCTCAGGGATCGGTATGAGTGGCGATCGATTACTGTCAGGCGGATTCGATATGCGTGCGGAAGACAATGAAGGATCCATTTTCGGACATGAACGTGTAAAAGGAATCGAAATTCTGAGGTACAACAGCGTGGCCCATTACCGTAACTGTGATGCAGCAACGCAGCACTCTGTATGCTGCGGTGTTCACCCACATAGAGCTTCTCAGGGAAATGATTTGAGTTAAACGCTGCCATGAATATATTACATTCTGACGTCAGCAGCAGGTGCAGCACTGAGTGGGGTGAACATTAACCAGACAGCAAGCGAATAGACTGGCCCTGCTATAAACCATGCAATCAACTATATGCGAGCTGTGCTTGCATTGTGCACTCATAGCCCACCTAGCCCTAGCAGCACATTGGCCTAGCCTTAGACCTGAATAGCTGGTGCACAGGGTGCTGCGGGGGTTTACGAGGACTCGGGCATGGAGCGGATGATGTCAGAGTCACCTGCCACACAGGGGAGCAGCACACCACGTCAGCTCTCAAGGGCACAGCAAACAGGCAAAGGCAGGAGCACAAGAGACCCAAAAACAGAACGACCCAGAGTTTGTGATGCTGAGAGCACAACGTACCAGCGTCTGTGATGCTGAGAGCACAACGTACCAGCGTCTGTGATGCTGAGAGCACAACGTACCAGCGTCTGTGATGCTGAGAGCACAACGTACCAGCGTCTGTGATGCTGAGAGCACAACGTACCAGCGTCTGTGATGCTGAGAGCACAACGTACCAGCGTCTGTGATGCTGAGAGCACAACGTACCAGCGTCTGTGATGCTGAGAGCACAACGTACCAGCGTCTGTGATGCTGAGAGCACAACGTACCAGCGTCTGTGATGCTGAGAGCACAACGTACCAGCGTCTGTGATGCTGAGAGCACAACGTACCAGCGTCTGTGATGCTGAGAGCACAACGTACCAGCGTCTGTGATGCTGAGAGCACAACGTACCAGCGTCTGTGATGCTGAGAGCACAACGTACCAGCGTCTGTGATGCTGAGAGCACAACGTACCAGCGTCTGTGATGCTGAGAGCACAACGTACCAGCGTCTGTGATGCTGAGAGCACAACGTACCAGCGTCTGTGATGCTGAGAGCACAACGTACCAGCGTCTGTGATGCTGAGAGCACAACGTACCAGCGTCTGTGATGCTGAGAGCACAACGTACCAGCGTCTGTGATGCTGAGAGCCGACACTCGGAAGAACTTGCCGCAAGCCGTGCCGAGATCCACGTTGTCTGCAGCATCGGTGGGGACGTGATGAGAGAGGGGTGCAAGTGAGAAGCGAGCGAGCTCATGAAAAGCAATACGGCAGTGGTGAGCGAGCCCAAAAGGCTCTACTACCCATGACTTGCTATTCATTATTGCCGAATTGTGCTGCACTTACTGCCCGAGTGGTGGTGCACTTACTGCCCGAGTAGTGGTGCACGCCCGTCTTGGATAGCATGGCATAGTACTCGATCTCCGACTTGCGCAGCGGCGGGCAGTTGTTGCCGATGATCACCAGCTTCGCTGCACGCACGCACACCACGCCACACCACACCACACCACGCACGCGGGCAAACATAACAGCAGCGCGATTAAGAGACGTACTACAGCCGAGAGGGGAGGCAGAGAGCGGGGAGCGGAGGTGATTGCGGGTCATGGCGCTTAGCCGCAGCTGCTCGTGGCACCCGTGTCGCTCATCTATTCCTTTGCATCCGAGTCAACCCTCGCAAATGCGCAGTGAGTATGCGGCGGAGCGCAGCGAACTAGCTCGAACAGGCTCGAATTCAGTGACAAGCCTGACCCATGCGCTCCGACAGGAAGGTGCGCGCTATCGGAAGCTAACGACAGACTTCACAACGCCAAGCCCACCTCACCGCCCCGCCCGCACTGGACGCCCGCTGCATTCCACGAGGAACACCGCGGCCCCCTAAAACCGCACCTCCCCAAAAAACCGCTTCTTTCTTCAAACCGCTGATCCCCTCTAAAATCGCTTCTCCCTTCAAACCGCTGCTCCCCCCTATAAAGCTTCTCTCCGTTCAAACCGTTTTCCCCTCTAAAAAGGCTTCTCCACCCTGAAAAGACTGCTCCCCTCTGCCTTTCTTCACACTGATCTCGCAGTAAGAAGCTTCCTAAACGCTAGCCGCACCCCCCTGTTGTAATCTCCCCCGCCCCACCGCTCCTCGACCCACTCTCCCCAGCAACCCGCGGCTGCCATCCACTGCCGTCAGCAGCCGCCCACTCGGCGCGCTACCGTCTCCACGCGACAGCGCCACTCCAACCCACGTGGCCCGCCTGCCCGTCACACGAGTCGCTGACTACCCCTGCACACAGGTCGGCTACACGGTGGTGCACGCCCGCCCACGACCAGCCCACCGAACGGCCCCTTCCCCCAATCTTGCGAATCCACGTGGCATAACCACGATCGACGACTAAACGCTAACTCTTGAGTGTGCGTCCGCGATGGCAAACGGCTTGAGAGCCTAACCCCGAACAGAACCTAGCAGTCGCCCCGCGCTGATGGCAGACGAGACAGTCGAAAGACGAGAGAGGGGAGGCAGGGCTGGCAGCACTCACACTTGCCGGAGCGCAGGCTCTTGAGCACGGTCTTGTAGCCCAGCGTGTACTTGCCGCTCTTCATCACCAGCGTCAGCCGGCTGTTGATGTTCTCCTGCGCCTTCTTCTGCTCCCCGCGCGCCAGCCATCAGGGAGGGGAGGGGGGGAGTGGGGGCCGGGGGGCAACGGCGCGTCTATGAGCGGCAGCGGCGAGTGGGCAAGCACGTGGCGGAGAACATGGGAGAGAGGGCGACATGAGCGCAGCACTGGAGTGGCGCGAGTGGAGCAACGCATGTGCGACACCGGTGCCGCGTGCGGGCTACTCTACTCGTCAACTTACAGTCTTCTTTGCGGGAGCCATGACGACTGCTGCGAATGACGATGACACGAAGCAGCTGCACACAAGTAAGCAGACACGCAAGCATGGATGCAAGCACAGACGAGAGCACAGAAAATATTGAAACAGACGTGCGCCTACGGCGTGGGTCGATCGACAGCGCTACCCTAGACTGGCAGACACGAAACCCCTTCGTCGGACTTCGCCACACTACACCGCGTCATAAGTTCAGACACAAGGGTTTTCCATGGTGCGCATCTAATTGCACAAATTGGTACTCAAAACGGCGGGACGGCGCGAATGCGGGACTGAGAACCGCGGGGATAATGGTGGATGGGCTGGAAGGGAGATTGTGTAACTCTGGCATAGTTTCGTGCAGTCATTAAAACGGACAAAAGGACCGATAATAATGCACCGTTACAGCGACGGATAAACTCTAGAGGTCGAACAACGTGAGCGCTCACCACGGATTGAGCACAGGAGATCAGTGAGGTGCCAAAAAGGAGCACTAACAAGCGACAGAGGACGAGTTATTGCTGGGAGAGGCAACAGCGAGAGCATCTAGCAGGAAGAGGCGGAGGTGGAACGAGGGGAGGGGAAAGGCGAAACGGGGAGTTGAGATTGAAGAGGTTACTGGGGTACGCGGTGGGGTTGGTCTATGCCAAGATCGCAAAGGGTTGGGAAAACGCGGAGCCCCAATTGTCGTACCAACAAAAGTCTCCAAACGCCATTATTGGTGAAACAAGCATACATTTGTACAATAAAAAGAAACAGCATTTACATTGCTCATACTACGAACAATGAGATTAGAACGTTTCTTAGATGCGCCATGATTAGAGGACTTATCAAGTTTTTTTTCTGAAGTGTAATGCATCGCGTACAGACCGAACCCTTGTACAACTCTCATAGTCTTCTCACATCACGCATCTTAACATGTGCCCATGGCTGAAGTTTCAATTTAGGCCTCCCTGAATCCGCGGAAAATTCCCCCCCTGTATGGGTGCATATTTTCCAAAAAAACATAACCCTGATTGTTCAGTGTTGGGATGTTAAGTAGTATGATTGTTCAGGGTCCAGAAGTCAGGATCAGGGTAGTAACGCACTGTGCACTATCAAAACTCAACCTCGATGGTGGGTGTATAGGAATGGAGTTTCTGTTGGAATAACCGAAAAGGTTATAGAAACATTCCCGAAGGTTCTCCACTCGCGCGCCACTCCATAACGAAGCATACGCGTCTGTATCAGTATCGCAATAGCTCATATAGAGCATGCGGGAGGTCGAGGGTCACCCGAAGGTCAACAGTAGAAGGCAGTCAACGGTCGTAACCCTTGACGGCCCAGTAACCGCACTTGGTAGTCACGAGATGCAACACGGTAGCTGTCAAGAATGGCAATGATCGTGGTTACTGTAGCAATGTAAGTTAATTAGGGAATGTACCTCTCAAAGTATATGGCTAGCTAGGATTGCTATTTATATTCTTGTACTCCTTCCTATAATCATCTTGTTCTCTTTCAACTTATCAACAAGGTCATTACAAGACTTCATAGTCTTCTCCCACACTTGATAGACTTGTCCTATCCACTACGATTCTTCAGTTATAACAACATGGTATGAGAGCTTGAGTGGATTATAAAGCATGTCAATCTCTTGTTCTTTCCAAAACAACCTCTATATAAATTACTCACTAAACTATTACAAACTCTGCATCACTATGGCTCCCGAAGGAAAAGCCACTGCAGATTCTCCGGGCCCACCACCAGCAACACCTACTACACCATCAGCGATGACCTCTGTCACGGCTGCTCTCGTCGAGCAGCTGGTTGCCCGCATCAACATTCTTGAGAGCCATCAAGCTATGAGCATCGATGGCTCAAGCTACGTACGTGGAGTTGCTGGACTCCCTCTCCCTGGAGAAGACCGCCGCGTCAACTCCAAGAGGTCATTTACCTTTGACAATCGTCAAGCTTCGGCTCCTGCGTAAGACAGTCAACATCGCGCACAGTCAGATACAATCGCGACAATGCTAACAAAGTTCGTTCTGACTTCAAAGCTGAAGACATCAGTTCCTTTCGACGAAAAGGACTTCTACACGTGGAGCTTCGAGTTCGAGCTCCTCGCGACAACTGCGCAAATCTGGACGTACTGCGATGGGAGCTTACTGTTTCCGACGGAAGGCACCATACAAGAGAAGAACCAGTATCATGAGTTTCTTCTCGCGTACACCACTCTTCTCCAAAACCTCTCCCCTTACGAGCAGCTTGGCATTCGCTCCTACAAGTCAGAGTGGGCTCCCGCGTACGCCTCTTGGGAGCACCTGCGCAGCTCATACATGGCAACAGATCCCGTTACAATGAGTCGCCTGCCCAGCCAACTTACATCGGTTAAAATGCAACAAGGGGAGAAAGCGGGACCGTATATCAATCGGTGCCGCAATTTACGCGACCACATCAAGAAGTGCGGTGGAACCGTTCTCGACGACATGTTCATCTCCATGGTTCTCTTAGGCCTTGGACCCGATTGGCGAAAATGTCAATCGTTGCTCCAGGCTCAAGCAACCATCTCCGAGTCCGCTCTGTGCGCCACACTTCTCTCCGAGCAGAAGAAGATTGATCTGTACAATGAGAAAAATAGCAAGCGGGAGAAATTAGTCTTCTACGCTGGAGCGACTGAAGGGGAGCAACACGGTAAGACAGGAACTTTCTGCAAATACTGCAAGAAGCCCGGACACACTATCGATCGGTGCTACAAGCATAAGGCAGCTGATGAAAAACGCATTAGCTCCTCTAATCAGCAGTCCTCAGCACCCTCGACTTCTCCTGCTGTGACATCAACCGTGTCACCGCCCTCCGTCGGGAGCACTTCCCAAACTTCTGTGCCCATCACGGTCAAGGACAAGGGAAAGGGGTCAGTCTTGAGCTGCATGTCGCGCCGTCTAAATGTTAGCACCTGCACTGTCGGAAATTGTCGGTGGCGAAATATCACTCCAAAAAATCTCTGAAAGATACCCTGTGTAAACTCTGTCGAAGCCCGACTGTATCCGAATGTCGCGACTGATCCAGCATCCCCAGCTGGCAGCATCTGCTATCCGAAAATCCTTGTTGTTGTCTTGTTGCTGTGGCATAATCGAAATCCTTGATTGCTGCAACATCTGTAGTTGTCAGAAGTTGCCGCTTGCATTAACTTCGCTTTGTCGCTTGTTTAACATGTTAACATTGTCATCGGTAGCGGAACTGCAAAGGTACTGTCATGAAAATCTTCTATCGTGACTCCAGATCGTGCAGGTTCGTCGTCGAAGACCGTCGTGAAAACAATGAAAATGTTGTAGCGCATCAGCGACGCTCGGCAAGAGGGGCAGATCATATAACTGACCGAGTGTTAGTCTTGAAAACATCGTTGAAATCACAAACTCAAGTCCTTATGACGTTAGCACCTCCGGCGACCTTGTCGTGGCGCGTCGAGGCATTTGTCGCGATTGTCAAATTATAATGTTGTGTAGGCTGTAGTGGGGTAGCCTATATGGGGTACACAATTCTAAGGTTGCATACTTGTATCACTTTCATTCCTTAGTCATTCATTCTCGTTTCTTCTCATGGTATCGAGCAGGTTCCCTCGTGGGAACTGTTCCTAGGGCCCACCAAGTCAATTTTTTTTTCTTGCCCGGAGCGCACTTCGCTTAGGCCCGAGTCGCGCCTCGTGTGCCCTCTCTACCGTCGCGCCCGTCCTAGGCCTCCTTCGGCCCCGTCGCGTCGCCCCTAGCGGCCTCCCTCGCGCCGCCCTTACTCGGCCCGTCGCCGCCCTTCGCGGCCTGACGCCGCCCTACGCGGCCCGTCGCCACCCTCAGCGGCCCGTCGCCGCCCTTGCGCCGCCCGTAACGGCACGCCGCCGACCTCCGCGGCCCCTCGCGCCGCCCTCACCCGCGGCCCTGCCACCTACCTGCGGGCGCGCCACCCTACCAGCGGCCCCGCCGCCCTTACCTGGCCCGCCCCTTACCTGCGGCCCCGCCGCCCTTACCTGCGGCCCCGCCGCCCTTACCTGCGGCCCCGCCGCCCTTACCTGCGGCCCCGCCGCCCTTACCTGCGGCCCCGCCGCCCTTCGCTGCGGCCCCGCCACCTTGCTGCGGCCCCGCCGCCCTTCGTTGCGGCCCCGCCACCTTGCTGCGGCCCCGCCGCCCTTCACTCCGGCCCCGCCGCCCTTACCTGCGGCCTCGCCGCCCTTACCTGCGGCCCCGTCGCCTGCTGCTGCGGCCCCGCCACCTTACCTGCGGCCCCCCCACCTTACCTGCGGCCCCGCCGCCCTTCGCTGCGGCCCCGCCACCTTACCTGCAGCCCCGCCACCTTACCTGCGGCCCCGCCGCCCTTCGCTGCGGCCCCGCCACCTTACCTGCGGCCCCGCCACCTTACCTGCGGCCCCGCCGCCCTTCGCTGCGGCCCCGCCACCTTACCTGCGGCCCCGCCACCTTACCTGCGGCCCCGCCGCCCTTACCTGCGGCCCCGTCGCCTGCTGCAGCGCCGCCCGCCACCCGAGCTGCCCCAGCCGCCATACCCAGCCGAGCAGCCGACACCCGCGCCGCCCTGCAGCCGAACCGCCGAGCAGCCCAGCCGCCCAGCAGCCGAGCTGCAGAGCCACCCAGCCGCCCAGAAGCCGAGCCGCCCAGCAGCCGAGCCGCCCAGCAGCCGAGCCGCCCAGCAGCCGAGCGGCCCAGCAGCCGAGCCGCCCAGCAGCCGAGCGGCCCAGCAGCCGAGCCGCCCGCACCGCCGAGTCGCTCGAGCCGCCCTCTCCGGTAAGAGCAGCGCCTCTTTCTGCGCACTGCCCTTACCCTACTGTTTGCGCTGCTAGTCTACTTCTGTCATGGCTACCCCTAGTGTCCTCGCTTTTGACGCTGAGGGTAGGGCCATTGACTTTGACGTCTGGATAGATGACCTGCAGCTTTTCTTACAGTGCGATAGGGCAGACGGAATCTCTCTCTTTGACCTCACCTCTGGTGCCTCTCCTGCCCCTGCTGCTGATGCTAACGCCACTGTTC